GTGAAGAACTTGGCTCCATCTTACAGGCAGTGGGGAGTCATTGAGAAGTCAAAAGAGTCAGAGAAGAACTGTGAAGGGAAGTGACCTGTTCAGAGTTGCTTCTAAAAAGATTGTTCTGACAGCTACTTGGAGAGCTAATGGGAGAGGGCAGGACTGGGAGCATCAGGATACATTACGAGGCCACTGCATTAGTCCATGAGTGGTAAGAAGAACCTGAACTAGCAAGGTGGCTGTGAAGATGGGAATCAGCATATTTTAGAGGTGAAGCTCATCTAGGGTGACTATTTCATCTGTTTTCCTGATGCTTCCCCAATGTTATTTTTCCCCACTGGAAGTCTCATGTCCTGGGAAGTTCCTCAGTCCCAGAGAAACTGGGATAATTGGTGTCTTAGGCCATCCAGGCTGCTCTAACACCACAGCCTGGGTGGCCTATAAACAACAGAAATTTATTGCTTGCACTCAAGATCAGGGTGCCAACATGATTTGGTGAGGGCCCTCTCTGGCTCTTTGCAGACTTAATCTATCCTCACACAGCACAAGGCACTGTGGGGTCTTTTCCAAAGGAGCAACTGCTCCCATTCATCAGGGTTCCACTCTTACAACCTAGAGCACCTTCCAAAGGCGCCTTCTCCAAATACCATCACATTTGCATTAGGATTTCAAAATATGGATTTTGGGGTAACACAAATATTCAGACTATAGCAGTTGGTCACCCTAAATTCAGCATACTTGACTGCATTGTCATGGGGGTTAAGAAAGAGGGAGGGATCAAGAATGAATGACCTAAAAAAAAAGTGAATGGGTGACCTACTATTTTGGATTAGGGTAATTGTGGAGGCTGCCATTACCTGTGTAAAGGATCATAAAAGAAGCTGGTTTCGAAATTAAGATGCTGCAGCTGGTTTGGGATGGATGGATGGAATGGGAGGTGTTTTGGGGACTTATAGGTAGATATGAACAGCAGCATTTGGGACACATCAGGTAGTAGAGAAAACTGAGAGTAGTTGAGATCAGCTTGGGAAAGTGATAGTTTGATCTACTGGGATCAGGAATCCTTCTTGGTGAACAGTTTGTTTTCCTTTTATCAAAATCACATATTTCTCTGGAATACTGATCTTAAAAGTTGTGATTTATTGGACAGTACTGATCTACAAGCTCCAACCTGAGGAGTCCGAAAGGCCTAGGTCACCTCCTATGGTGGCTGTTGTAGTTTGGGTTTTCCCAGAAACAGAGTTGGAGGCAAAAGTTCAAAGTGAATAGTTTATTTGAAAATTTACACAGAGAAGGGCAGGCAGCTAATAACCATCTTAAACCTGTGGTGAAACTGAAGATGGTGTAGAATAACATGTCTCAGAATTATGCCATCCAAACCAAGGGAAATGGGGTATTTGTACACCACTCCTGTGGGCTTCTTCCCAACTTGTGAGTGTCCTAGCACTTCTGGACTACCTGCAGGTAGGCAGAGATCAGAGCATAGGCTGAGGTATGGGGAGAAGCCCTTGGGTTCAGAGGCAGAGACTGGCAGTGGAAGTTGGCCAGAGCACCCCCAAAAGTATGAGAGATGTGTACACTGTGCAACACTGATGTCTACACAGATGCTTAAACATCACCTTCCTCTTAGAACTTTGCCTAGAACATTATGTCCATGATCTTGATTTTGTGTCACTCTGTAAAAAGTGGTCCAGTCTCTGTGACAGGAAATGCTGAGGGATGCCAAGGGAGAAAGAAGAGAAAGGAATAAACTTATGCTTAGACAGACTGATTCTGCATGGTCTAAAAGACCAATTGAAGGGATAAATGAAGAGATGTTGTATACCACCCTTGGGGTGCTGGATTCTAGATGTTGTGTTTATACCAATGGGGTTACAAGCCTGATCAAACACTGAGGTGATCTGGGTTTCCACTCATGTGCTGATGTATCCCAGAGATCAAGTGCTCAAGCTCTCCACCCATCACTAAGAGCAGGGAATCTGGAAGTAGAGGCACTCCCCTTGTTTTGGGTTTAATTGTGTCCCCCCAGTGAAGATCATGCACGTATACAGATCGGCTATTCCTACTTTCCTATCTCATAATCCCCACAGTCTGACTCCTACCTCCTCAGATCTCCACCCAAATAAACTATTTACATTTAAATCCTTGTTTCAGGCTCTGCTTCTAGGGGAGCCCAAATTAAGACAGCAGAAGCAAAAATATAAAAACAAGGACCAGCATAGTTTGAAATGAGGGCATTGGACTATGGAGACACTGGAGACCAGTTTGTTTCACTGGTGTGCTATGGTGCCCAGCAGGTTACTGAGTCTGGAGTGGTTGCCAGTTGTCAGATCACAGAGGCCACCACGTACCAAGTGAAGAACTTGGCTCCATCTTACAGGCAGTGGGGAGTCATTGAGAAGTCAAAAGAGTCAGAGAAGAACTGTGAAGGGAAGTGACCTGTTCAGAGTTGCTTCTAAAAAGATTGTTCTGACAGCTACTTGGAGAGCTAATGGGAGAGGGCAGGACTGGGAGCATCAGGATACATTACGAGGCCACTGCATTAGTCCATGAGTGGTAAGAAGAACCTGAACTAGCAAGGTGGCTGTGAAGATGGGAATCAGCATATTTTAGAGGTGAAGCTCATCTAGGGTGACTATTTCATCTGTTTTCCTGATGCTTCCCCAATGTTATTTTTCCCCACTGGAAGTCTCATGTCCTGGGAAGTTCCTCAGTCCCAGAGAAACTGGGATAATTGGTGTCTTAGGCCATCCAGGCTGCTCTAACACCACAGCCTGGGTGGCCTATAAACAACAGAAATTTATTGCTTGCACTCAAGATCAGGGTGCCAACATGATTTGGTGAGGGCCCTCTCTGGCTCTTTGCAGACTTAATCTATCCTCACACAGCACAAGGCACTGTGGGGTCTTTTCCAAAGGAGCAACTGCTCCCATTCATCAGGGTTCCACTCTTACAACCTAGAGCACCTTCCAAAGGCGCCTTCTCCAAATACCATCACATTTGCATTAGGATTTCAAAATATGGATTTTGGGGTAACACAAATATTCAGACTATAGCAGTTGGTCACCCTAAATTCAGCATACTTGACTGCATTGTCATGGGGGTTAAGAAAGAGGGAGGGATCAAGAATGAATGACCTAAAAAAAAAGTGAATGGGTGACCTACTATTTTGGATTAGGGTAATTGTGGAGGCTGCCATTACCTGTGTAAAGGATCATAAAAGAAGCTGGTTTCGAAATTAAGATGCTGCAGCTGGTTTGGGATGGATGGATGGAATGGGAGGTGTTTTTGGGACTTATAGGTAGATATGAACAGCAGCATTTGGGACACATCAGGTAGTAGAGAAAACTGAGAGTAGTTGAGATCAGCTTGGGAAAGTGATAGTTTGATCTACTGGGATCAGGAATCCTTCTTGGTGAACAGTTTGTTTTCCTTTTATCAAAATCACATATTTCTCTGGAATACTGATCTTAAAAGTTGTGATCATTGCCTGAAATAGTTTTGAGGGCTACTCTAGCACTCAGAAAGCAGTAGCCCATGAATGTTTAGGATTTGTTCATCGATGCAGCTATTCGTCCCCTGGCAAGGGATGGGGATCTGAGCACAGGGAAAGTTTGATGGCAACTCCCAGTAAAGTTACAAATATAAGTCTCCCTGCACGGTAGAGCCCTCCCTGGGTGTCAGAGGTGGTGTACCCACCACCAGAGTGTAGAATGGAAATAGACACCTGGAAGGTGGGAGGAAGGCTCCAAAAGCAGGGAGGACTTGGAGAAAATGAATGAAAAGTATTCAGCACCAAGCTTGGCAGGCATGTCATGGGCCTCCGCACTTGAGTCCTCCTTCATTGATTTGCCCAAGACAGATTCTGGAGGCTCTGGTTAACACCCTCCCCACGGCCCCATTTTCCTCATTGCATTTTCTCTATAGCAACTGCTGACATTTTGTAACAACTCTGACAGTCTTTGTTTGGTTTTCAGCAGACCCACAAGCCAGTCAGGGTAATATTCACAATCTTCGTTGTTAATATAATTGATCACTTTCTACTTGACACTTTTCTAAACACTTTACACTTACTAACTTGCTTGAGCCTTACAGTAACTGATCATATGAGGGCTTTCATTACTACCTTCATCTTTACAAATGAGGAAACTGAAGCACAGAGAGATTAGATAACTTGCCAGAGTCATTTAGCTGGTAAGATGCAGAGACAGTGCATGTCCACCATGAATGACATCACTGAACAGGGAAGCGGGAAGAGACGTGCCACCAAGAGCCAGCTGCAGGACCCTTGCTCCCCTCCCACCCCTTCCTGGCCTGCCATCCTGGAGAGCAGCCTCTGCTCCCTCACAAAAGACAGGGCTCTGCTGTCACTGAGCACCACTCCCTACCTTCCCTGCCTCTAGCCGATACCCAGGGTCCCCTGCCTTCTTCAGCCTCTTTTCAAGAACTTCCTGAGCTCCTTCTTCATCCCATATTTTAAACTAATGAATGAATAGATCAATCCTTTACTCTTCTCCTTCAGAAAGCATAGCCCTTTTTAGAGAGTTATGGGCTACGCTGAATCCTAAACTGTATCGGAATCAGGGGACCTGGATGTGATGTACAGCATTGTCATTTTCTGTTTCTGGTTGTTTCACTATGGATTTCTGGTTTCCCACATCTAAAAACTGAGGTGTTAACTTGATCCTTGATTTTCAAAGTAGGCAAAAGGGTATCAGAATCACAGAGTGAAGGGGTCAGGACTCCTTCCAACTGTGTGGTCCAAGCTATTCTTGATCACCTTTATCAAAGTGTATCTGTCCTATGTCACCTCCCTCCAGGGCTTTGCCTTCCAGATAACAGAAAGCAAACCTTTCAGACACTACCTCCGCCCACTGAGATTCCAAGTGTGACCTCCCCGCCCCACCCCCTAGTTCAAATCATTTCAGTAGAAGGCCTCTCCCACTGATAGAAATGTGTCTCATCCCAGTAGAGAGCTAGGTAGAAAACAAAGATTATGAATTATTCACTGTTCCAGATGATCTTATCGATGGTAGTGCTTACGTTCCATGAGATGATGATTTCTATAAAATGCTAGTGTGAATCGCTTAAGCCACCTCCCTATGAGGAAAAGATAATTAGCCTTAAAAACTGTGGAAGGGGTAGAGGAGTTTGGGAGGAGATATGCCAGGAGATCATGTCATGAGTCACAGAAATGTTTTGCATAATAGAATAATCTGGAACTGCCCTGGGTTGTTAGGGGAGGGTGGGCATTCACTTTCCCATTCCCTGTCGAGAGCTATTTTTTTTTTTTTGAGAGGGCATCTCTCATATTTATTGATCAAATGGTTGTTAACAACAATAAAATTCTGTATAGGGGGGTCAATGCTCAATGCACAATCATTAATCCATCTGTTGAGAGCTATTTTAAGACTCACATTGCTAACCCAAAGTTTGTCTCATCCAGGAACTCTGCTCAGGCAGGTCTCTGCAGAGGAGGCTGTCCATTTACCTGACTCCTCTCACACCTCTGATGAAATCTGTCTCTCCTGCTCTCCATTGCTGTGGGTTAAGTCAATTCATTGAGTGTCTACTGACCCTTGAATTGGGGTTGGATGGGAAGTAGGAAAAGAGGAGGTAAAACCCAAATGAGCAGCAGGTCCTGCTCTCTGGAGTCTCTCAGCCCAGCCTCATCCCTCCACCACATCTCTTAAGGGAAGAAAGAAAGTTTAAGGGATGAACAGAAAACAAGGCCCCAGGCTCACTTATGCACTTGCAGATTTCTTGGGTGCTGGGCTGAGGTGCAACCTTGGAGTCTGAAAGTTTCCTGAAGGGAGGGATGGAGGGGCTGTGGTCCTCTGCCCCACTCCAAGCCATTTCTGGTCCCCCCAGGCCTGCCAGTCCATTCCAGGCCAGTGGCCAAGGCACTGACACCCTTCCAGGGGCTCTAAGTTTTACCTAGACCTGAATCCCTTCAACACCTCTGGGAACTCAGAATCTGAGCTTTCATCCTCATAAACAGATAAACACAACAGTTTCATGCTTCTGCCTAAATTATACTTGTACAAAATGTCTAACATAACAGGGTTTTTCTATTACCATAGTAACCCCTGCGTGTGAACAGCAGACTCCAGAGAGAAGAGAATGGAAACAGAGAGAAAACCAAGCTTCAGAATGGTGCATGGACAGAGGGCCAGGCAAGATGGGCTGACAGGCCATGAGCCTGACCTTGTACGCTGGGCCTGATCTCAGCCATCAGAGTGGAAGCAATCTGTGATGCCTTTTGCAACTGTATTTGCCTACAAATTATAATATCTGGAGGTCCAGAACAGAGGCATTGCCCTGGTTTCCTCTGGTTGACATGAGGACTTTCACTTCCTGTTTCCTCCCTGCCTCCTCCTTCCCTCCCTACCTCCCTTCCTCTCTCCCTTCTTCCTTCCCCCTTCCCTCCCTCCCTCCCTCCTTTCATTGCTTTCTTTTTCAGGAGGCCTAGGAGAAGATACTTTATTACTAAATGGTGCAGTTCTGTGGCATAGTTTGAAAGAGACAGGATGCAAACAAAGCTAAATATGATATGGGCCTGAAATCAAAGAGCTGGAAACAGTAAAGGCAGTGCCCCAAAGCTGAAAGCACTCATCTCCCTTCACAGTGTGAACAGTCCTGTGGTCTCTGACCCCCCAGGTCACAAGGCCATGGGTACAAAGCACCTCCGTTCAGGCTTCCAGAATAACAAGAGCAGCAAACAAGCAAAAACCCCAGTCACCAAGTTAGGCAGGGTGGACAGTTACAAAATCGGTCCTCGTATCAAATTTGTGTCTAGAGGAACTGAACTTGCCTACAGACAGAGTTAAGGGCAAGTGGATAAAGACCATAACATATCTGACATCATGCAGGTAAAGCACTTACCGCAGGGCCTGGATCTTGAGCTAACAGGTTTGCCACTTCATATAATGCAGTGGAAGTGTTCCCAGGAATAGTTGCATCAGAGAAGCAGTGGGTTTCCTCCTCTAGCTCACAGTTTGTAAAATAGACTGATTCCTAAGACTGGAATCATCACCAAACTTTAGGAGAGCGTTGTCTTAAAGTAACTGTGTGTGTGTGTGTGTGTATGTCACTCACACATACACAAACCTTTCAAAAACACTTAAACCTCTAAGTGATAGAAATGGTGACATTTTATATGTTTTAAACTCCCACAGGCATTCATCTGAACATCAGAGAAGGAAAACGTAAAGGACTTAAGTTTCAGCCCGAACAGACCAGGGAGAGCTGGAATGCCCCACATCTCACCTCTGAGGCTTCCACGTGCTGATCCTCTTCCTGGATCCCCTTTCCACACTCTTCTTTTGCTAACTCCTGTGCACCCATCAGGGTAGCTCTGAACATCTTCTAACACTAAAAACTTCTCTGGTGCCCTAGGCTTGTTTAGGAGCTTAACCTAAATGAAGGCTGCTTAGGACATGTGACATTTCCTGCCTGCAATTTGACTAAGCAGCCACACGAGCCTGGAGGGACCTCTGCTAGAACTTGGCAGACAGTGCAGGGCAGAAAAGCAACAGCTATAAAAGCAATACGGCGGCAGCTGTCCATTACCAAACACTTACTGCAGGCAGGGCTAGTGCAGCCAGAGTCAGGTGAGTGAATACCTCCCATAAATAGGTTGGCATTCATGTATCCAGCTTACAGACAAGGAAACTGAGGCTCAGAGAGGTTAAAAATCTCCCCTTCATGGAGCCAAGATGGCAGTGTGAGTAGAGCAGCGGAAATCTCCTCCCAAAACCACATATATTTATGAAAATATAACAAAGACAACTCTTCCTAGAATAGAGACCAGAGGACACAGGACAACATCCAGACCACATCCACACCTGCGAGAACCCAGCGCCACACAAAGGGGGTAAGATACAAGCCCC